TCAGCCTAAAAGATAAAATTTAGTATTTGGGTGATTTTTATATCATAAATATTATTGGCTTATTTATTAATAAGAATAAAGTGAAATATGCCCAAAAAGTGTATTTTAATCAAATATAAAAGATATATAGAATAAAATTTTCAATAAGACCATTATAATTTTTTTTCTGGTAAAGGCCAGTTTCCATTTGCACAGAACTGTTACAATAAAAATCCACAAGAATGTATCTGACCATTCAAATTACTTTGTATTGATAGTTTTTTTAATAAATGCTGCTGTTAAATATAACCTGATAAACAATAGGTACTCAACAATACTCTTGTAAATTTATCCCAGACATCTTTTAAACTAAAACTACATCAATAAGAATCAATGGATAGATTTTCCAGAATCTACTGTATAAGCAATTTAGTTTATAGTTATAAACCTCTAAAAAAAAACTGCATTTAGGTGAAGAATTTAACTTATGTATTTTTCAAAGTATTGAAATTCTCTCTATAATTTTTATCTTTACATAAATCCTCAAAAAAAAATTAAAAATGGTATTTATTAATGAAATAATTACAAGAAAGCAAATATACATAAAATTATATAAGAAAAACAGAAATAAATTAAAATTTAATATTCCACACTTAGAGATATATAATTTACTACTAGATAATTTAATTTCATATATGTATATAATTTAGGCTGATGAAATTTCAACAGAAAATGTCAAATTTTGATCAAGAATATGGTCAATTAAAATAAATATCAATTTACTTTTCGCTCTCGATGTAGTTGTAAGAGAGACTGAGCTTCTGCAATGTTGTTTGCGAGGTCGGCAGATGTCATTCGTTCGATCATATCATTCACCCAACATTCCTATTTTAAATAATAAATAACTTTTAATTTAATGACATAAAAATATTTTATTTAACAAAAATAATGAAGCTTTTTTCTTTCTAATTTATGATGATTTATTATAAACAAATTTACTAAGTTAAAAAGATCACAAATTATTTTAATAGTAATATCAAAAGCGCTCAGCAACTAAATAAAGAGAAACAAAACACCTTTTTTGCCGAGAAATAAATATAATTTTTAAAAACCAAACGTTTTCAGCCTAGTTAATAGGCCATCTTCAGGTCGAAAAATGGAACGAAAATGTTCCATGAATAGAACATAAAAATTTTTAAATCAAAAATTTTACAAGAGAAAAAAAATTTTTTTTTATTTAAAAATTTTTATGTGAAGATGGCCTGAAGATGGCCTATTAACTAGGCTGAAAACGTTTGGTTTTTAAAAATTATATTTATTTCTCGGCAAAAAAGGTGTTTTGTTTCTCTTTATTTAGTTGCTGAGCGCTTTTGATATTACTATTAAAATAATTTGTGATCTTTTTAACTTAGTAAATTTGTTTATAATAAATCATCATAAATTAGAAAGAAAAAAGCTTCATTATTTTTGTTAAATAAAATATTTTTATGTCATTAAATTAAAAGTTATTTATTATTTAAAATAGGAATGTTGGGTGAATGATATGATCGAACGAATGACATCTGCCGACCTCGCAAACAACATTGCAGAAGCTCAGTCTCTCTTACAACTACATCGAGAGCGAAAAGTAAATTGATATTTATTTTAATTGACCATATTCTTGATCAAAATTTGACATTTTCTGTTGAAATTTCATCAGCCTAAATTATATACATATATGAAATTAAATTATCTAGTAGTAAATTATATATCTCTAAGTGTGGAATATTAAATTTTAATTTATTTCTGTTTTTCTTATATAATTTTATGTATATTTGCTTTCTTGTAATTATTTCATTAATAAATACCATTTTTAATTTTTTTTTGAGGATTTATGTAAAGATAAAAATTATAGAGAGAATTTCAATACTTTGAAAAATACATAAGTTAAATTCTTCACCTAAATGCAGTTTTTTTTTAGAGGTTTATAACTATAAACTAAATTGCTTATACAGTAGATTCTGGAAAATCTATCCATTGATTCTTATTGATGTAGTTTTAGTTTAAAAGATGTCTGGGATAAATTTACAAGAGTATTGTTGAGTACCTATTGTTTATCAGGTTATATTTAACAGCAGCATTTATTAAAAAAACTATCAATACAAAGTAATTTGAATGGTCAGATACATTCTTGTGGATTTTTATTGTAACAGTTCTGTGCAAATGGAAACTGGCCTTTACCAGAAAAAAAATTATAATGGTCTTATTGAAAATTTTATTCTATATATCTTTTATATTTGATTAAAATACACTTTTTGGGCATATTTCACTTTATTCTTATTAATAAATAAGCCAATAATATTTATGATATAAAAATCACCCAAATACTAAATTTTATCTTTTAGGCTGAAATAGATGGTAGACAAGAAGCTTTTTCTTCTTTAAAAGACTTTGGTCATCGTTTAATACAGCAGAAACACAGTGCTTCTGAGACATTAAAGATAAACGTTCAACATTTAGAAGAGCTACGACGCATGTTAATTCAAGCCTGGGAAGAACGTCGACAAATATTATCACAATGCTATGAATTTCAGGTATGCATTAATTTGTTTTCTATACTTAATTCATTTTCAATAATAAAAAGATAATTTTAAGATATTTGATATATTTTTAAGATGTTCAAAGAACAAGCAGAACAAGCAGATTCCTGGTTGGCTAGTAAAGAAGCTTTTCTTAATAATGAAGATTTGGGAGTAAGTTGAAAAATAAATTTTAATTTGAAGTCTATTGGTATTTTTATCTTTAATTATTTTTTTAAACAAATTTTAGGATTCAATGTCAAGTGTAGAAGCTCTGATTCGTAAACATGATAACTTTGAAAAAACAATGAGTGCCCAGAGAGAAAAGATAGATCAACTTGAAAAATTTGCAACCGAATTAATCGCAAATAAACATTACGACAGTAGTTCTATACAGACCAGATGCCAGGCAATATGTCAACGCCGAGATCGCCTCAAGGAAAATGCCATGATTCGACAGAAGAAACTAAAAGAATCAAAACAATTACAACAATTTCTCAGGAATATCTATGAAGTATGATTTAGTAATTTATGTTTAAAATAAAAACCTTTTTTTTTAATATAGTTTTTATTAATTCAAATCAATATAATGTGTAAATTTAGGTTGTTGGATGGATACACGAAAAAATGCAGGTTGCCTTAGATGAATCATATCGTGATTCAACAAATTTACTGAGCAAAATACAAAAGCATGCAGCATTCGAAGCAGAATTAGCAGCCAATAAAGGAAGAATTGATGCAGTTTCTAATGAAGGAGAGAAGTTGATAGGAACTGGTCATTTTGCATCTGTTGAAATTCAAACTCAGCTTCAAGAATTGGAGTTGTTGTGGAGACAATTATTGGATCAAGCAGCTCTAAAAAAAGAACGTTTACAAGATGCCTATCAGGTACTGAAATAAAATTATAAAGAAATTTTTAAAATTTTTATTTATTACCAATTTAAATTTACTGTAGATACTTTATTGCATAAAAAGTATTGTTTATTATTTTTTCTTTTGATTTTTATGTTACAGAAGACATCTATTATATTAAGAAGTGTAATTTTATTTACAATTTCATTCTAACATTTAAACATAATTGCTGAGTTCTTAAATGCAATGTTTTGGTAAGTCTTCATGTCATCAGTATGAGAAATTACATTGTCTTTAGAAACACATTTAGGCCAAGTTACTTCAAATTGCCATATAAAACAAGATTCAAAGATTACATGGATCTGACAGAACATTTCTACTAAAACCAGATACATTGTATTACCAAAGCCAACCACTTCCATGTGCTATCGAGCTAATTAAATGCTGTATTAATATAATAGCTATTAATTTGCCTGATAACATATGGCAGTGGTTGGCTTTGAGAACTGGTTTGTTCAGTAATACTGACTTAAGCAAAAAGTTGATTTTAGGTCTACTACTTTGACAATGCTGAGTTTAACTCATCAAAAAGATTCAGATATAATAAATATTAAATCAATACAACTACATTGAAATAAGATTTTTTCCTCCTTACCTGAACTTTTTATCTAGTTTTTAAAAAATAATAAGAATTAAATATTTGATTTTTATTGATATGTACAGTACATTGAATAGCAACATTACAAAGTGTATTAGTTTTCCATGTGAAATTGAAAAGTAGTGAAATTATTTTTAAGTCACCACACCTTGATAAATTTGAAAAAAAATGAATTTATTAAAACTTTAAAATATTCTTTTTATAAGGAATATTCTATTCTATTCCATGGCATCCTCTTTACAGAGGGTTGCAGATGATGGACAGTTCTTTTGAAATCATCTGTCAATCAAATCTTGGGGAGATACAAATGCATGGTGGTTCCCTGTTGCCTACCATGCTGTAGATTAGAAATATATTGAAAGTATAATTTCATATTCTTGTCTTGTTGCAGATTTTATTTATCAGTAAATAAACCAAGTTATCTTTTATCTAAATTTGTTTTTCTAAATTATTTTAATTATATAATAGATTCAGTTTTATGTTTTCCCAAAATATCAAATAAATAAATTTATTTATTTAAAAGGCTCTTCAATTTAGTCGGATGTTAGAAGATATAGATGCCTGGATGGACGAAGTCGAAACTCAATTGCAGTCCGAAGATCACGGGAAGAATCTGACTTCTGTGCAGAATTTATTAAAGAAACATCAAGTTAGGATAAATAATTTTTTAAAAAACTCTGAAGATTTCACATATTTTGAATGTATTAAAAATATATGAATTTTATTTTAGCTTTTAGAAGTGGATATTAATAATCATGCANTAACACAAAATATTTTTAATATGTTCATTATACTGTAGCATATATAATATGATAAAACTAATGTTGTTATTGTATACTATAAAAATATATTAACAAACAATTAAACACACAACATATTTGCAGTATCAATTACATGCATAATCATAATTTATCACAATTAATATATATATATATAAATAAACTTTTAATTACTTGTTATTTAATTGATCTCTCCTATGTTGTATTGTTTTGTCATCAGATCTTCCTTGCCTAATTAATTTATTTGCTAGCATATTAAGATTCTTTATTCTTGATTCATCAACTCTCATATCCTAAAAATTAAGTAAAAATTCAGCAAAATAAAATATAAATAGGTGTAATTAATATAATATTAATAATACTTACAGAATCAACATCGTCTAGTTTTCGTTGAAGAGCCATACAATGTTCGTAATCTCTACCAGTATCTCCTGCTTGGACCATCATGTCCTTGATATAAAAATAAATTTGTTTATAATAGAAATAAAAATTAATTATGCAAGCAAAATAAAGTTTAGATTACTTTATCACGGATCCATGCTTCAACTTTTTCGGCTTGATTATTAAATTCTAATATATCTTGAGCTTCTTCTAAACCACGTCCTCTATTATTAGAGGCTGCTAATAATTCATTCCATTGTTTCAACAGACATTCAAGTTGTTGATGTATTTCAGATGATTCGTGATGTCTCTTATTAAGAAGCATTTCTCCTTTCTTAAAATAAATTTTCGTTTGAGATTCATTTATTACAAAACAAAGTTAATTAATACTCGAGTAATAAAGTAATTACCTGTTTAATACTGCATATACTACTTTCATGGGCTGCAAGTTCTGCTTGAAATGCTTGATGTTTCTGTAATTTTTTCATCTTATCCTCAAGGCAAGTTACATCTGCTGTATTTTGTTCAGCTTCTAATTTCTTCCTTTTTTCTTCAATCCAAGATTCAGCCTAAAATAAGCCATTTAGTTATCAATTATTATTCATGTTTGAATAAATTAAATTTGATAACTTTGAATATGTACAGAAATTAAAATATTTTCTCAAATTTAAATTTGGCGGTTTATGTAAATTGCATTCAAAATGAGAAACAATTATGAAAATAGCTTATAAGTTTTTAAAGCATATCAAATGCTTTATAAACTATCCGAAATATTTTAAAAATAGAATATTTTTATACAAATCTCAAGACTTTTTAATTCAAATAAATTTATTTCAATTCACATTTGTAAAAAAAATTTAAGTAAATATTATAAAAAACTTTTTTATTACGAATAAAAGTACAGCAATGAGTTGCATAACTTTCCCGATGAAAACTATTTATATTTAGGAAACATGGATGCATTAGCACAAACTGTGTGGTACCATCTGTTATGAGATTTTATAAAAAAATAACTTTTATATTATTAAAAAAGCAAAAGGCTTAACTTTGAGGACAGAGATGAGTTTTTTTAAAACTATAAATGCCAATAACGAGTAAAATTTTCATTAGGTCTGACCCACTTGATATGACAAAAGACCTCTACCTCCCCACCCCTCAAGCTTTAACCACCAAAATTTAATAGCATCAGTGCCCCTTATATACAAGTTACTGTTTTGTTTCTTAATCTTTATTCCTTCTTGAGATATTAAATGAAATAGATGCCAACACACACATTCAGGAGATTTTTTTCCCTGTTTGTTTTGACTTTTTGGGTTCAAGGGTCTCAAAACATTGAGATTTGCAAAAAAGTCCACGACACAATCCAATACTTTCCCGTGTTATGTACATAAGAGCCAGGAAAATAAAAACAAAGCATATTATTGCTAAATTATACAAGTATATGCAATTTCTTATTCATTATCAATAATTTTATGTAATAAAAATATATCAGAATCACTTACTTCAGTTGCATCTCTTTTAAACTGAGTGTATAAGAAGGAATCGGCTAATCTTTGTTTTTTCTCGTTACTCATTTCTTTTAATTTTATTCTCCTATAAAATATATTTTAAAAATTATAAATATTTTATTTAAAACAAAACAAATTAAACCTTTTAGAAATTAACCTCTTTTTTAATTTTGAATCTTTTCTTTCTTGAATTATGTTTAGAAAAGAAAATTAAATTATAATTAAATCTGGATTTTAAATTCTAATATTTTATATAAATTAGCAGTGAATAATATCAGAATATTGCACGTTTCAGTTTACATATATATGAACAATAAATCCATAAACCCAATTTTTAAGTAATGCCAAACAATCTTCCATATTATTGGGCTGTAATAAGGCTAATTTTATAATTAGACTAGCTGCAAGGACCCGCTTCGCTGGGTTTTTATTTGTATGTAATATAGTTTTTTTATATATATAAAAGACTGTTTTTCTAAGTAATCTAGAATCTAGCTGCAAGGACCCGCTTCGCTGGGTAAAAAGTAACGATAGTGAAGATTAAGATAATTACATTATAGCTAATCTTACCCGTTTTCACAAAATGCAAGAATTAGGTCCCCCGTTTCCAGACTAATTAGAGAATTTTTACGTTTAGTCAAACGAACTATTTTCAACGTTTACAATCGTTCTATAATCGAACCAATATTTGAATTTTATGTTTGAATTTAATTCGAACAAAACATTCGAAATAGAAAGCCACTTTCAACCACTTTCAGCCTCATATCTCCCGCACCCTTATAGCTATCGAGATGCAACCACCCCTATGCACGAATGGAGACTTGGGGCTACCACCACATACAAACACCATTCACGTGTGATGTGTAGTTTTGGCGGAAAAATGAAATATAGGAACATACATGTCCATTTTTATATATATATATAGATTTAAAATAATTTGACTAGATGTAGATAGATTTATTATAATTTTAATAATTCTATTAATTTATTTTATTTTACATTTATTAAAATACATATATTTAATTTACAATTAGTAAAGTAGATTTTAACAATGCTGATTTTTAGTTTCAAAGTCAAATATTTATTCAAAGTCATGTTTTAACTAACTCGTATTTTTTTTTAATTAAAATGCATATAAAGCACTTTGCAGAGATGGATTTTAGACATTGGTCACAATTTAAAACTTGTTAAAATCACATTGAAATAACATTTCTTAAAGACCTTGGTTTGGATAATGATTAAAAACTACTTTTTAGATGAAATTCCTAGAGCCAACCAGAGTCAGATCTACATGACAAAGAGTTTCAAATTCAATACAGATTTTCTAAATCTAAACTTGTGGATATTTTGAAGTTGAACTGAATACAAAATTAAATATTTGAATGAAAAAAAAAATCAACCATTACTAATTGCATGACAATTTAAAATGGAATTAAAATAATCCAGTCAGACTAAGGAAACTTTTAAAATAATGCTCATTTTATTATTTTTTCTAACTTTTATTTGCAAAATAATTATATATTAACTTTAAGATAAAAATGTGAAATACATTCAGGTTGCTTTTTTGTTGAAGCTGGTCAATTGTAGATAGTTAAGAGCTAATTGAATAAGAAATAAATTTTTTAAAAATATCTAACCAAGTATAGAAAAGAATAAACGAGGGTCTCTTTTATTCTTTTCAAAACAAACAACCCAAATCACCACTGAATAAATTGTAATTTTTATAATTCAGAGCAAGCATGAGCTAAAATCTGATATCAGTGTGAAATAAATTTTTACTTTTATATGTGGAAAATATGAATAAAAACAAAATTACGGCAATAATCTAGAGTTTTCAGTTCTAAACTTTCTAAAATATAAACTTAATACTGCGAAAGACATCAATAACTCCAACTTCAACATCATTTATTGTCCCAGAAACAATTTCTTTGGCTTTGAAGTTATTGTATGACCCTGTTAAAGATAAGGAAAAGTGACAATGAGAGAGACAGGTATAGCAGTGTAGTGATCTAAATTAAAATTCAGACAGCTGTTATATATGTGGAATGTGGTATACCACTTGAGATGTTCATTGGGGCGCCTCCCAATGAACATCTCAAGTGGTTAGAGGCAATGTACATCTTTAAATCCTCTATCGAAAATATGTGCATAAATTTTAAAGAAGAGATGATTTTGTCGATGGCCTGGCAAGAGTTGATACACAGCATGCTTTAGCCACTCGTTATATCCGAGCAGGCAGACTTGTCACGCATGCGTGACATATAAGTTTAAAAGAATCATTCGAACTCAAGAGCAAAGTTATTTGAAAAGCATTTAGTAATCGAATTTACAAGCTAAAACTGTAGGAACTTGATGAAGAGCCCAGAAGGGGTTCGAAAACGTTTGTTTTTTGTACTTGTTAGTCGATCGTACCACACTGTAAACTGGTTCTGTGTATGTGATTGTTATATCGGTATGGTGAGTAGTTCATTTTTATGTAAAGGTACAATTTATACCAAATTTTTTATGGTTTTTTTTTCCTCTGCTATATTTATTTTTCTAATTCTATAATTTCAAATTGGAACACTCCTGCATTTGAACTATAGTTATAGTGAATGTTCTAAAACAGTAATCTACATAAAGATCTGTTAAGAGGACTTTGTATGTTCAAGTAAAGTGTTGCTGAGACAATAAAAGTTATTGAAGTTGGATTTATTTTAAACTTTCTATTTGATAGAATATAAAATGTAATCTGTTTCTGATTTAAGAAATTATATTTAACTATTTATTCTTTTTCTTCAATGGTTGGATATTTCCAAATTAATAAAACTTTTATCTTCAGTAAAGTTTTGACACTATTTTTGCAACAAAGTTTAACCCACAGTGTAATGAGCCTGTGACTGTATGCCATTTTTTACTTTAAACTGATCTAGTGAAGATCTTGTCTCTGCAATCTGCACATGAAGTTAAAAAAAATAAGTTGAGGTTTAAAGTTAAATCTGAAGATAAATATTTTTGGCTTTTTTAGTTACATAAAATTTTTCTACTGAATTTTAAAAGGCTTTTTGATTTTTTTTATTTTTTTTAAACAAAACTTTTAGTGAAAGATATAAGTTTAAATATAATTAAACTTTTGATTCATTTGGTAATTTCACTTGTACATTTTTGTTGTTTTCATTAAGATTACACTTTATTAACAACATAATATTTATAATTTTGTCTGAAATTATTTTTTCTTTTGAATTTTTTAAGACTCTTTAAAATCAAAATACTGTTTATTAAATAACTTAAATGTGTAAGGCATTTAAAAATTAACTTATATTTTTTAATTTAACTCCTAAAATCTGTTTAAAACTGTTCTTACCGAGATGTAACTTCATTTAATCTCTGTTTGATATGATTACTATCAAAATGATTCTGTTGGAGCAGTTTATTTCCATGTTCTTGAAGAGCTGTTAACTTTAATGAAATAAAATTAAAATTAAATAATAATCACATAATTTAAAATTTGAGTAACAAATAATTTCATTTATTAGTATTATTTTTTTTCCTATTTAAATTTATTCACAGAGAAAAAATTATAAAGATATTTTTTTAAAATAAAAATTAATTATAAAATTTATATTTTTTAGCAAAGTTTTCAATATATTGCAATTAAATATAATTTAAATAAAGTCGTTTTTTTAATATAGCTTTTAGCTGAAAGCAAAATACAATCAGAAAATAGAACAAAATACATTTAAAGATAGCAAAATTTCAATATTTAGTAAGCGGTTAGAATCAAAATTAATAAATTAAATTTATTTATAAACTGAAATTCTTAATTTTAAAGAATTAAATACCTTTTCGTCTTGCGTAGAAATTAATTTTTCAAATGCTTCATGTTTTTTAACTAAAGCATCAACTTCTTCAACAGTGTTAGCAAAATCTGAACTTGAAAGATAAACCTATAAACATTTTCAATTTATATTTAGAGTGTTTTAAAATAATATTAAAATCATTCAATAATCAATTATTCTCAGATTTAATAAAGCAGTTTTACCTCCTGTTGACTACTTAAAGTATCCAACTGTTTAGCATCTCTTAAGAAGAAATGTAAATCGCACAACTGATCCAGATAAATTTTCTTTTTCTCCCAAGCAATCAATAAATCTTCTCGTAATTTTAGCAATTGATTTAATCGCTCCTTAATCTAAATAATGCATTTAGTGTAATTATTAAAAAAATTCTTTTTTAATTAATTTCTAAAATAACACAAATTACTTCATCTCTAGCATAATGTTTCTCTTGAATCATTTCACCTCCCGCTTCTAAAGCATTACTGAAAATTTCTTCTCTAGTTTCTATTTCTGCTTTTAATTGATTATGTTCTCCCTTTAAGATCTGAGCACTTGCTAAATCTCTTACTTTATCTTCAGTTTTTAGTGATGAATAAACAGTCTGGGCCCAGCTTTCTAAATCTCTTATCTATAAAATACAAATAATGTTATAAAACAATTAATATATCAAAATAATGTTTTTATAATTATTTTTTTTTTTTTTTTGAGAAAATCAGAAAATTTACTGAAGCAAGAAATCTTTGTAAATGGTATGATGCTTGCAATTCTTCTTTTCTTTGAGTAGCACGTTCTTGTAATGTGTTCCAGTTTTCGATTACTATATTTTGCTGTTCGTATATATGCTCTGCATTTCCTCCTGGATATGCAACTTGTAATCTTGTACTGTCATCAACCAAAACTTGCAACTAAAGGATAATAATTTACTTAGTAAAATGCTAATAATTTAAATTAAATATTTCTTATATTCTAAAGTTGTTTATTATATGATTCAATCATTCATCTTATTATTTTTAATTTTTAAAAAGTTAAATATTTTACCTGTGCTTCTAATGCCACTAAATCGTTTTCAAAACCTTCGTGTTTCCTCATAAGATTCTGAACTGAATTTAAATCTCGCCCTAAATCAGTTGGTATACTGGTATATTTTTCTTGAATCCGTGAAAGGCCATCGGCAACATCACGATTAAACCTATGAATTTCTCCAGCAGCGTGAAGTTTCTGATCTCTAGCTTCAATATGATCCAATAACAAAGTCCAAGTTTCTCTGTGAATATATTTAACAATAATTCTAGATAAGCTGTATTACTCATGCTTTTATACTGTGTGATCCAGAAGTCTTTCATCAAAGCAGCCATATACAATGCTAAGAATGTAAATTTTGTTTTTTTATTTATTTATGAAACAGCAAACTGGGCTTTTTTCCTTTAATTTAGTATATGTTGTTTTGTTTTTGCTTACATATGCATGTATTTATTATTTCTGTGCATTTAATTAGATAAAAAATGCTCCTTTTAAATTTAAGAAAGTCGCAGTAATTGTGATCATCACAGCTTTCTTGCTGTTAAACAATGGGCAAAACAGTACCTGAGACAAAAGTGACTTAACTTACAAAGAATGTTTAAATGTAAAACTCAGCTTCTCTTATTCTCATATACTGCAATACCAATAAATGTATTATCCATTATAATTTGCACTACTATGCCAAAGGACTTCTGAAATACTTGTTATATAATTTAAAAATTTATACATTTAATTATCTGAATATCATGCATTAAAAAAAACTAATTAAAATTTACATTTATTTTGTACTTTTTTTATTGTTCTAAAAAATTGCCTGGCAGTTTTATTTTACTGACAGAAGTTATGAAAAGTTCATAGTTTTACATGTGTTGCATTAACCATGCAAATTTAAGTAATATGCAGTTTTTGAAATGATAATATAGTCATTAATAAATAAAATCTCTATTTTAAAATTTGAAATTACTTAAAACATTGAGAAAAGATATCTTACATCAGATGATTTTGACGCTTCTCAATTTCAGAAGAAAATGGCGTATCTGCTCCTATTAACTTCTTTCCTAATTCTTCGCATTGATTAAACCTTTCAGATCCTGTTTCCATTCTATGTTTGAAATCATCAAATTTGCTTTGCAAAAGCTATAAAAATAAGTTATCGTTTTATTTTATTTTCTGTTTAAAAGTATATAATAGTATAATATATATATAATAATATAAAATTATGTAATTTTAATTTTGTAAAGTACTGCAATAAAATATTAATGTGTATAAAATGTAAGAAAATTTAACAATAACTTTATTTATTTTTTAAAATTCTAATAAGAAAACATTGTTATATTGAATATGTTCAAGAGGATTCTGAGCTATTTGTAAAAATTTCAAAAATGTTTCAGCATTTTTCTACAGAAGAAACTAGAAAAAGATTAATATTATACAATGTGATTTTTTTATAAATGAATCTATATTAAAATCATTTCCAATTTCAATATAAATACAATAAAGTGCTGTTAAAATTAATATATAATCTACATTAAAATATTCTACTTTGTAGAACTAGAGCCAATAGGGTTTCTTTACAATGCTGCCTACCTTATGTCCATTTTTTGTATTCTATATTAAACTGAGTAATACTAAAACTTTTCTTTATAAATATAGCAGTAAAAAAAAAAAAGACCTTTATCTTTTGTTTCAGGTATTGAATTCATGATCAATCTTGATCATTCTTCTTAACATTAGTCGGTAAATGCAGTTGTCCATTTTATAAATAGGGCCGTAGGAAGGGGGATGTGGTCTGGTCCAAAAATGGAAAGTAGTATCCAGATTATAGCAATGGTCTCCTAATTTCTTTACAAAGGTTTCACTTTCAATACTTACCTAATTATTTCAAAAATTTTCTGATTTCTAAATCTCCCAAGAGAGATGTGTTACTGGAGCTGGAGAAAGCACTAAATTATGGATAACACTTTTCTGCTACGGAAATGTCTATTGCTTTAGTATGAGTATTGCATGTTAGTGGGTAATTTGAAATTAGAATTGTATTTGTAACACTGACAACAAAAGTGGACCAGCCACATTCATTCTTATGGCCTTGATAAAACATATAAAATGAATAACTGCTATATGAACATGAAATTTCATAAAATAAGTAACAAAAAAAGTACAAAATTAAACAACTACAAGAAATCTGAAAAATAAAATAGAAATTCTCGTATATTTATAAAATATCAAACTGATTCTGAATTCAAGAATTTTTTTTTATTCTGATATATTTTAATCTGACACCAGAAAAGTATCTTAAACAGAAAATAGTTTTTTTGATTGTTTTAAATTTTAATAATTTGCATAAAAATGATTTATTTACCAGAATATGTTCGTAATCTTGGCCATAATCTTCAGAAGTAGCCGTTTGCATTTGCTCATTGATCCAACCTTCAAGATCTTCGCTTTCTCGCATATATTCGTGTCTCTGTCTCGATTCCATCAGTTTTTGGCGACGAACTGTGGATAATTTTTGAAGATTCTTCATTTGTTGTTGAATAACTTGCTATAAAATTTTAAAAATTAAGTTAAAATTTTTAATTTAAAATGTTGATTTAATTAATGTTAATTTTCTTACCATTCTATTATTAATAACTTTTGCATCAGGATGATTATTATCTACCATGAGTTGTGCTTGATGTCCTATTTCTGTTATTAAGCCAGAGTATGTGTCAATTTCCAATTCTAATGCCTAAAAAGAAAAATATTCTAATCAAGTTTATTTATATTTTTATATAATATTATAATATTTATGAATTAAGCTATTAAAAAAGTTTTAAATTCAGTTAAAAATTACATGGGATTAAATTGTTATTTATAAGTTATTAATGACAAGAAAAATCTTTAATTAAAATTATTATTATTATTATTTATTACAAGAACTTATAAAAGGCAATGCCAATTAGGCAAAATGAACTTTTCCACATTAAGAATAGAAAAACCTCTAAGTAAAAATTAGAATAAAATCAATATGATAATAATAAAAGGGAAATAAAAATAAATTATAATACATGTAAAGTTTTTGTACTACATCATTTGTATTTACAATAATCATGAAATGTATTCACTAAATTATATATGGTAATTTACATTTCATTATACAATTATTACTAAGCTAAAATTAGCAATATTTGTCGGATATAATCATTCATTTTTATAACCACTTAAAAGGAGGGTTTTTGGACAAATGAAATGTTATGCCCTTCGAATCTGGCATTCACCTGAGTTCAAGAATTACTCAGAAGATGATTTTATTCCCAGTTATTTTTTTTTTTTATACTTATATTTTATTTGTATGCATTTTGGATCAGAGTTTTCGCCGATCTCTCTTCAGTGAAGGTACCTTTACTGAATTTGAAGGGCATAACTTTTTATTTTATTCATCCAAAAACCCCCCATTTAAGTGGTTATAAATGTGAATCATTACACAATGTTGATATTTATGAACAATTATCATAGACATCATGTGATCAATTATGCAATACTTAACTATAATATAACTATAAAACATGTATGATATATGAACAGAGGTAATATTTATAAAGATGTAATGATACTATCATCTATTGTTTAATTAATAATTAAATAAAATTTAGTAACATTTGAAAAATGAATCACATGAGTACAATGAAACTTACATTATCTAAACACTCATGTTTATCTGATAAGATCTAATTCAAAGATTTAAAATAACATATATTGACATAACTAAATTAATCAAAACAATTTACTTTGATTGTAAATATTATAACAGTACTTACTTGTAATAAATCAAAACCTAACTAGAATTATATGTTCTTTTCAATTTTTATATCTGAAAAACTATTAATCTGTGATTATTGTGCAGGTGTTATTCTATGTCATTTACAGTGAACTCCCATAAAACATGCTGCCTTATAATGCAACAAAAAAATTGCAACTATTACTCATATAAAATTCTAATTTTGTCGTCCAGAGGTATAGGTTTTCTTCTTCAACTTCTAAGCCTAGGTTTAAACTTGCATAAAATCATCTAATAATGCATGTCTCAATAACACAATTTCCTATAATGCAGAATGAATCCCCTGCATTGTATAGGACTCCACATTGTATTTAATTTAATTTAATTTTATATAATAATAATAATATTTTAAATTTACCTCAAGACTGT